AAGTTCACGTGAACCCCCTTCCCCTCATGGCATGACCCGCCCCTCCCCCCCATGTGACATTTGACAAGGTCACAGCAACCCCCTGCTCCTCATGACATGAGCTTCACCCTCCCCAACAGGGTCATAACGACCCCTTGCCCCTCCTAACACAATCCCTCCTGCTTCCCCACTAGGGTCACATCAGTGCTCTGCCCTTCATGATGGGTTTAAGCCCTTCGTGATGTGACTTCCCCCTACACTTGATAGGGTCATACCAACCCCCTGCCCCGCATGGGGCAACACCCAAAGGGTGCTAAGCTGCCCCTCACTCACACCAACCCATTGCCCCTCATGATGTTCCCCCAGCCTCCACCAGCAGTGTCACATGAAGCCCCTGCCCTGCCTGACTTCCGCCATGCCTATGCCAACCCCTCCCCAACCAGCCCATGTCAACTCCATACCCTTCATGGAGTGCCCGTGTCGTTCCCCCACCAAGATCATGCCAAGCCCCTGTCCCTCAGGAAGTGAATCATGTTCACCTCCCTACCCTGTGCACATCAGTGAGCCCTCCTGACACCTGGTGACAGGCCTGATGGGTTCCTGCGGCTCCACCTTGCTATGGATGGTGGAAGACCCAGCCCTGCTTAAGTCAACTTATGCCAGGTACCTCCAACCCCTGACACAGGCCTTGACACACAAATGAAACCCCTGGCTAACTGATAAACTGCCACCCCCAAAATGCCTGGCACCAGGTGACAACCCCCTCCCCCACACTCATGTCAACCCCTGGTACCAGGTGATATTTCCCCCCACATGCATGCCAACCCCTGACACCAGGTAACAGTCCTCTCCCTTATGCCAACCTTTGGCATCAAGTGACTGCCACTCCATACTCAGGCCAACCCCTTGCACTGGGTGACAACTTCCTCCTCACAACTCACGAACCAGATGACAGTCTCACCCCCCCCAGCTAATGCCAACCCCTAGCAATGGGTGGCAGCCCCCCCCACCACACTCATACCAACCCCAATTCCCTCCCTTTCATTTTCCTTCTTGCCACACTCAGGGGAAGTGAAAAATAAACTGTCCCCTCCTCCATCCATTCCTGTAGAGATGCCCCCTCCCACCCTAAAAGTTGCCCCTCATGGGGGCAGGATCCATGGTCTTACACCTGAGAGACCCCTGGGGAAAGTAAGTAAGCTCCATGTGCCCCCTTGGCAAAAGTAACTGAGGGCCACCAAGCCTGGGGTCAGAAATGCAGGGGACCTGGGTGCTTGGGTTCTTTTCCAGCTCTGGGAAGGGAATAAGGGTTCAGTGGAGTATGGGTTGGAAGCCTGAATGTCTGGGTTCTTTTCTGGTTCTGGGAAGGAAATGGGGGTTCTGGAGGAGCATGGGTTTGGAGCCCGGACACCTGGGTTCTCTACTGTTTTTTCAAAGGGAATGGAGGTCTGGTAGACTGGGGATTGGGAGCCAGGCCCCCCAGCCCCTCTCAGTTGTGTGGTGCCCCCTGCAGGCTGCTCTGTGTACTGCAAGTCATCATGGGTACAGCTGCAGGACCTGTGCCGCCTGGCCAAGGTGGTATGTCCCGACCTGGGTGTCACTCGTCGCAACCTCAGCCACTTTGAGGTGGAGTACCTGTGTGACTACAAGCGTGTGCGGGTGAGTGTCTTTCCACGGCCCTCTGGTACCTCCATGGGTCCCCAGTACCCCCCCTGCCCCCCACACAGCCATGGATCTCCCATCCAGTTCCCCTAGCCCCCACCCCATTGCCTGACACCCTGCCTCTCAATTTATCCCCTACCCCAGAGGCCATGGTATCCTCATAGCCCCATGATATCCCTGCTGGCCCCCCTGGTACTCCCACAGCTCCCCATAGCTATCTCATGACCCCCTGGTACCTCCCATGTCCCGCCAGTACCACCACTACTCCCATGGCCTCGCTATACCTGCTATGGTTCCCCCATCTGCCCTGTTAAGCCCCATAGCCCCCCTATATCCCTTGGTTCCCCCCTGGCACCTCTGAAATCCCCGTCAGCCTTCCCAAGCACCCCCACAGCCCTCCTATACCCCCATGAACCCCCTATACCCATCTTCAATTTCTTTATTAGCAACTTGGGCGAGGGGGTGAAAAGCACCCTGTTCAAATTCGCTGACGACTCCAAGATTTGGGGCGAGGTGGGCACGCTAGAAGGGAGGGACAGGATACAGCTGGACCTGGACAGGTTACAGGGGTGGGTGATTGAGAATAGGATGGGATTCAGTATTGACAAGTGCAGGGTACTGCACTTGGGCAGTAAGAACCAGCAGCATACCTATAGGCTGGGGAACTCCCTTCTCAAAAGCACAGTGGCAGAAAGAGATCTTGGAGTCATTATTGATTCCAAAATGAACATAGGCCGCCAATGTGAGGACGTGGTCAGTTTAGGCCAACTGCACCTTGTCATGCATCCACAGATGCATCACAAGCAGGGCCAAGGAGGTGATCCTCCCCCTCTATGCGACACTGGTCAGGTCACAGTTGGAGTACTGTGTCCAGTTATGGATGCCGCACTTTAGGAGAGATGTGGCCAGCATCGAGAGGGTCCAGAGGAGGGCCACTCATGATCTGGGGACAGCAGGGCAGACCCTATGAGGAGAGGCTACGGGACTTGAACCTGTTCAGCCTTCACAAGATAAGGCTGAGGGGACCTGGTGGCCATCTATAAACTTACCAGCAGGGACCAGCGGGAATGGGAGAGACCCTGTTCACCCGAGTACCTCCCGGAGTAACAAGGAATAACGGCCATAAGTTGCTTGAGAGTAGATTCAGGCTGAACATTAGAAGGCACTACTTCACAGTCGTGGCAGCTAGGATATGGAACCAACTTCCAAGGGAAGTTGTGCTGGCTCCTACCTTGGGGGTCTTTAAGAGGAGGCTTGACAATTACCTAGCTGGGGTCATTACCTAGCTGAGCCCAGTATTCTCTCCTACCCAGGGCAGGGGGTCGGATTTGAAGATCTACTTAGGTCCCTTCCAACCGTACATCTATGAAAGTGTACCTGGGTTCTGTGGGTGAGGTTATCAAATAAAAACCTAGGATTCCAAACTAGCCTAAGGGATTAACATGACACCTCATTTGATAAGTGATAGAAAGGCTTTATTTACTACAAGTATTCCAAGTCAAATGAACCCAAACCAAAGCAAAGTCCGGTAATTAGTTATAAGGTGATGATTTCTCGCCAAACAGGCGACAAGAGAGATGATCTATTTCTTCCAGCTTCTTGAGATGGCTGGGGCGCAGCAGCAGTTCTTGTCAGAGAGCTCTTTCATACTTGAAGCGCGCGCTGTTAGCTGTTCCACTTCTTTCTTACACCCTTAGTCCAGCATCTTCAAAACAGTCATGTAGTTGTGTAAATCAAGAGAGAGTCCCAAGCAGTAATTGGCAGGAAAATCCTGTTAATCAAACTGCTCATTATTGGTTATCAGAAAGTTCCAATTTGAATTAATTACGTTTCTCAGTGACAAGAGGTTATCCATTTCTACTAAGTTTGGAACATATCAAGGAACTGATTAACAACCAGGAAAAACACAAGGTTTTGAGGAGTGTCCTTGGAAAATCAAGGGAACCACTAGACAAAACAAAAGTAAATCAGGAGGAAACAGCAAAACAGAAATAAATCAGGAGGAGACATCCATCACATATGGAGAATGACTCTTCTGTACATAGCATGAGTTAATTGCAAGAGAAATATTTATCATACTAATCAAGGATAGACATTTCACATGGTTACATACCAGACATCTAGGAGCCTGCTTAAAATCATCATGAATATAGTAAGGTAAACTGGAAGTGATACCTCATTGTTTTTTCTCAGATGGTCTAGCCATGAACTTGCATCCTCTTGCACTAGTTAGCATCAGTATTTTGTATTTTAACTTTTGTGTGTAGGCCCTAGCTTAGCATGAGTTTCAGTCATCAGCAGGGATGAAGTTAAGGAGGGTGGACTGGCAGCATGGACACATGAGTTTCATAGTTTCATAGTTGTTAGGGTCTGGAAGGGACCTGACAGATAATTGGGTCCAACCCCACTGCACTTGGGCAGGAAAGACTACTGGGATTAGGTGACCCCAGCAAGATGGGTGTCAAGACACTTTTAGAAGATCACCAGGGTGAGTAACTGTACCATCTCTGGAGAAAACCTGTTCCAAACCCTTGGCACTTGACTTGTAAAGTTTTTCCTTATGTCTAGTCTGAAGCAATCCTCAATCTGTTTGTGTTCATTATTTCTTGTCCTTCCCTGGGGGGTCTTGGTGAACAGATGCTCCCCCAGACCCTAATGTGCATGCCCTTGATATACTTATAGGCTACCAAGTCCCTTTTGAGTCTTCCCTTCTCCAGGCTGAACAGTCCTAAGTCTTTCAGCCTCTCCTCATATGACCTGGTCTCTAGGCCTTTTATCATGCGCGTGGCCCTCCATTGGACTCTCTCGAGCTTCTCCACATCCTTCCTGAAGTGTGGCACCCAGAACTGGATGCAGTACTCCAGCTGCGGTCTCACCAAGGCCAAGTACAATGGGAGGATGACATTCTTAGCTTTGCTCGAGATGCCTCGGTAGGTGTATGCCAGTGTTTGATTAGCTCTGCCAGCTACAGCATTGTATTGGTGGCTCGTGTTCATGTTCATTTTGTTGTCTATCATGACACAGGTTCAGATGTAGTGCTGGCAAGCATGGCACTGCTAAGCCTGTAAGTGTGTACTGGAATTCTTCCAAGACGGAGCGCCTAAACATCATCAGGTTGAGGTTTGCCCACCTCGCGAGTCTGTCCAGGTTGGCCTGTATTGCCAGCCTGTCTTTGATCTTGACCACACTCCCCATAGTTTGGTGTCGTCCACAAACTTTGCCAGTTCATTTTTAATACCCTTATCCAAATCATAGATGAACATATTGAAAAGCACTGATCCAAGTACTGAACTCTGAGGGACGCCATTGGTCATCCTCTGCCACAATGACTCAGTTCCGTCAATCAGTACTCTCTGGGTCCTACCACAGACCCAGTTACCTAGCCACCGGACCACTGAGGCCGCATTTTCCCAATTTTTTCATGAGGACTTCATGGGAGACCAGGTCAAAGGCCTTTTTGAAGTCCAGGTATATGACATCAACCTCATTTCCCCTATCTGGGTTGTGAGTTACCTGATCGTAGAAGGAAATGACGTTGGTCTGGCATGACCTGTCCATAATTAAGCCATGTTGGCTATCCTTCAGAATACTGCCTTCTGCTAGCCTGTCTGTAATGGATTCTTTGATCAAATGGATTCTTTATCAAAGAGGCCATTCTTAACAGGCTGGCTGATGGCAACATCCTGAGGGATAGCCAGCACGGGTTTGTCGCGTGTAGGTCTTGCTTGACCAATCTCATTTCCTTCTATGACCAGGTGACCTATCACCTGGACAAAGGAGAAGAGATTGATGTTGTATATCTTGACTTTAAAAAAGCCTTTGATCTGTTATCCCATGATCACCTCTTAGTAAAACGCCTCTAACTGCGGTCTTGGCCACCCCATGATCCGCTGGCTGGGCAATTGGCTCTGTGGTAGGACCCAAAGGGTGGTGGTTGATGGAAGTCAATTGTCATGGTGCCCTGTGATCAGTGGGGTCCCCCAGGGCTCTGACCTTGGGCCTGTACTATTTAACAACTTCATTAATGATGTGGACATTGGTATCAGAAGCGGACTGGCCAAGTTTGCTGATGACACCAAACTCTGGGGTAAACTGTCCACACCTGAAGACAGGAGGGTGATCCAGGCTGACCTTGATAGGCTCAGAAAATGGGCAGATGAGAACCTGATGGTGTTTAACACTGAAAAATGCAACGTTCTCCACCTTGGGAAGAAAAACCTGCAGCATCCTTATAGGCTCGGCAGTGCTACGCTGGCTAGCACTATGGATGAAAGGGACTTGGGGGTCATGATTGACCACAAGATGAATATGAGCCTGCAATGTGATACTGGTGCTAGTAAAGCAAGCAAAACGCTTGCTTGCATCCACAGAAGCTTCTCAAGTAAATCCCAGGACATCATCTTCCCATTGTACTCAGCCTTGGTGAGGCCGCACCTGGAGTACTGCATCCAGTTTTGGGCTCCACAATTCAAAAAGGATGTGGAGAAGCCTGAGAGGGTGTAGAGGAGAGCCACACGCATGCTCAGAGGTCAGGAAAGCAGACCTTATGAAGAGAGGCCATGGGACTTTTCAGCCTGGAAAAGCACAGGCTCAGGAGTGATCTGGTGGCCACCTATAAGTTCATCAGGGGTGCTTACCAGGATCTGGGGGAACGTCTGTTCACCAGAGCACCCCAAGGAATGACACAGTCAAAAGGTCACAAACTCCTCTATAACCATTTCAAGCTGGACATAAGGAAGAACTTCTTTACTGTCCAAGCCCCCAAGGTTTGGAATAGATTGCTGCCAGAGGTGGGACAAGCACCTACTCTGAAAGCCTTCAAAAGACATCTGGATGTTTATCTTGCTGGGATCCTATGATCCCTGCTGACTTCCTGCCCCCGGGGCAGGCGGGTGGACTCGATCTTTCCAGGTCCCTTCCAGCCCTAATGTCTATGAAATCTATGAAATTATTTTTTCCAGGATTTTACCATGGGTTGAGGTCAAACTGATTGGCCTGTAATTTCCTGGGTCCTCCTTTCTCCCTTTCTTAAAGATAGGCACCACGCTGGCCTTCTTCCACTCTTCTGGGACCTCTCCCAAGTGCCATGTGTCTTCAAATAACTTTACCATAGGTCGCATGATGACGTCGGCCACTTCTTTTAGCACCCTTGGGTGTAGTTCATCTGGTCCTGCTGACTTGTAGATGTTTAGCCTTTGTAGGTGCTCCCCCACAAGATCTACGCCAACTATGAGAGGGTGATCAGTCACCCCCACCATGATCATCATCCTGTATCCTGTCAAGCAGGCTAACATCCTTGGACTGGTGCAATACCTATGTGAAGTATTCATTCAGGAGTTTGGTTTTGTCCTGAGTGTCAGTCATCAACCATTCTATTTCATTCATCTGGGGCCCTATGCTTCCCTTATTTTTTCTCTGACTTCCTACATATCTAAAGAAGGACTTCTTGTTGTCCTTGATTCTGGTTACCAATCTGTATTTGTTTTGTACTTTTGTGATCCTGATCTGCTCTCTACAGGTGTGAAGGGTGAGGCAGGCACCCAGCCACCTGGGTTTCCTGGGTCTAGGTCTTGTGGGGATGTGCCTGGATACCTGTGTTTCATGGGTCTTGGGTCTGGGGTGGGTGCCCAGATGCTTGGATCCCATGGGTGGACGTGAAGTCAAGGTGGCGGGGGGACTTGCCCGGATGCCTGGGTTCTGTGGGAAGGGATGAAGTCTGGGGATGGGCTTGGGAGCCTGGTTGCCTGGGTTCCATGGGCTTAGGTCTGGGGCAGCAGGGTGCCCAGATGCCTTGGTTCCATGGGCTGAAGTGAAGTCAAGAGTGGGAAGGGGGACCTGCCTAGACACCTGGATTCTGTTGATAGGGACAAAGCCCAGGGAGGGGACCAGGAAGCTGGATGCCTGGGTCCTCATTCCTCTTTGACCCATGGTGGGGGCCGGGTGGGGCTGCGTCGTGTCCTTCCATGCAGGAGGAGGAGTTCTACCTGGTGAAGTGGCGAGGTTACCCTGAGTCGGAGAGCACGTGGGAGCCCCGTAAAAACCTGCGCTGCCCCGGCGTCCTCAAGCAGTTTCATCAGGACCTGGAGGCAGCACTACAGCGCTGGTCCCGACCTGGCCGGCCCCGGAGGCCTCCACTCCATGGCCTGGAGCCCCTTGTGGCTGCCTACCTGCTGCAGAAGGCCAAGCAGCGGCGAGCCTTGTGGCGCTGGGAGTGCCAGCTCAATGCCAAGCGCAGCCACCGTGGCCGCATCACTGTGGAGAACGAGGTGGACCTGGATGGTCCCCCCCGGGACTTCATCTACATCAACGAGTACAAGGTGGGGGCTGGCATCACCCTCACCCAGGTGGCCGTGGGATGCGAGTGCCAGGACTGCTTGGCCCAGCCGGCTGGCGGCTGCTGCCCTGGTGCTTCACGCCACCGCTTTGCCTACAACGAACAAGGGCAGGTGCGGGTGCGGGCTGGGCTGCCCATCTACGAGTGCAATGCCCGGTGCCGCTGTGGCCCTGACTGCCCCAACCGTGTGGTGCAGAAAGGCATCCGCTATGACTTGTGCATCTTCCGTACCGACAACGGCCGGGGCTGGGGCGTGCGCACGCTTGAGAAGATCCGCAAAAACACTTTTGTCATGGAGTACGTTGGCGAGGTAGGGCCCTGCCCAACAGGCAGCTGACCCTGGGGAGGGACTGTGGGGGGACAGGGGATGGCTGAGTGTAATACAGAGGGGTGGCTGGGTCTGGAGGAGCAGGGGAATGGCTGAAAATAATGCCATGGATGGCTAGCTCTGGGAAGGAGCTGGGGAATGGGTGAGTGTAACACTGGGGGCAGCTTGCTCTGGGGAGGAGCTGAGGGGGGCATGGAACAGCTGAGTGTAACACTTGTGGTGGCTATATGTGGGCAGGAGTAGGGGAATGGGTAAGGGTAACACGTGGGGTGGCTGGCTCTGGGGAGGAGCTGGGAGAATGGCTGAGTCTAATGCTCAGGGCTGGTGGCTCTGGGGGTGGGGAACCAGGGCAGGGTGCAGCTGAGTGTAATTCTAAGGGCCACTAGCTCTGGGGAGGAACAGGGGGGAGCAGAGAACGGCTGAGTGTAATGCTGGGGGTGGTGGGTCTGGGGAGGAGTGGGAATGGCTGAGTGGAATGCTGGGGGCAGCTGGTTCTGGGGAACAGCTGGAGGAATGGCTGAGTTTAATGCATAGGGCAGCTGAGTATGGGGAAGAATAGGAGACAGGGAACAGCTGAGTGTAATGTTGGAGGGAGCTGCCTCTGGGGAGGAACCAAGGGTAATAGGTGAGTGTAACACTAGAAGTAGCCAGCTCCTGGGATTGGCAGGGGGAATGGCTGAGTAGAACCCTGCCCAGGGAGGGCTTGTAAGATACTGCCATAAAGCCAGCTCTGGGGAATGACTGACTATAACAACCCAGGTAATGAACTAAGTCTGTGACAGAGGTGCAGCCAACTCTGGGGTGGGGCAGCAGGAGACCATCCAAGTAGAACACTACTGTGAAAGGCTAATTTGTGCCCAGCTATGTGGTGGGCAGCAACTGTATGTAATGCCTCTCCATTCCCCTCCCCCCCCCCAGATCATCACATCGGAGGAGGCAGAGCGGCGGGGGCAGATCTATGACCGCCAGGGGGCCACGTACCTCTTTGACCTGGACTACGTAGAGGACGTCTACACTGTGGATGCTGCCTACTACGGCAACATATCCCACTTCGTCAACCACAGCGTGAGCCCCAGGCCAGGGAGGAAGGGCTTGGGTTTGGTCAGGGAGACTGGAAACTGTGGGGAGGGGTCTGGGGTGGAGGTTGGGTGGGTCTGGGGGAGACAGATAGGAACTGGGATAGAGTCTGAGGGGTCTGAGAGATGTAGGGGTGTCTTGGGGGTTCTAGGGGCTGTCGGGGGGCTGTGGGAAGAGATCTGGGGTAGAGCCTGGAGAGTTTGGGGTCTGTGAAGGGGGTTCTGACATGGGAGTCTGAGGGATGTTGGGGGTTCTGGGGCTGCAGGGATGGTCTAGGGTGAAATCTGAAGGGTCTGGGGGATGTAGGGATGCCTTGGGGGATTCTGAGGGCTGTGGGGAGGGGTCTGAGGTGGAAGCTGGGGGTCTGTGGGCTGTACGGGGGTGTGGGGTCTGGGATGTAGCCTGGGGAGATGTAGGGGTGTCTTGGGAGTTCTGGGGGCTGAAGGGAGGTCTGGGGTGGAGACTGGACCTGTGAGGGCTCTGAGCTGTGGGTCCATGCTGACTCTCCTGCCTTCCGCAGTGTGACCCCAACCTGCAGGTGTACAATGTGTTCATTGACAACCTAGATGAGCGCCTGCCACGCATCGCGCTCTTCGCCACCCGGCCCATCCGTGCCGGCGAGGAGCTCACTTTTGACTACAACATGCACGGTCTGTGCCCACAGGCCTGGGGGGATGGGCAGGTCACAGCTGGGGGGGCGGGGGGGCCCGGAGCCAGCTGGGGTAGGATATGGTTATTGTGGGGAACCTGGGGCTAAGTGGTGCAGGGCACATCAGGGGGACAAGATGCTGTTGGAGGTGGGAACATGGAGTGAAGTGGAGGGGCAGGATACAGCCATGGCCCTGGGCATGAGGGGGCCAGGACATAGCCCAGGGGGAGCAAGAGCCACCCAGTGGGTGGGGCATGGGCTTGGGGAGAGCAGGACATGGCCCTGGGGTAGGGGGGGGCATAGGACCTGTGGGGGACAGGACAACTGGGGGAGAGCCACCTCTCTCACCTTGGGGGGCAGGACATAGCTCAGCAGGGGCAGATCTGCCCTGGAGGGGTTCTGTTGTGGGGTTTGGTGGACTAGGTGCTTTGAGGATGGGCTTGGGGGTTGCTAGCCCCCATGGGTAGGCCTGGGGGTATAGAGTTCTCCCCAATACTAACCCCCCCATTTGCCCCCTCCCCCTCTTGCAGTAGACCCAGTGGATGCAGAAAGCACGCGCATGGACTCGAACCTGGGGCTGGCCGGGGGCCTGGCTGGGTCCCCCAAGAAGCGCCTGCGCATCGAATGCAAGTGCGGGGCACCTGCCTGTCGCAAGTACCTCTTCTAGCCCCCCCAGAGCCAGCTGCAGTGGCACCCACATACTCTGCCCATGTTGTAGGGGACGGTGGCACATTATGTGCCACCGTTCCTGGGCCACCCCCCTGAGCCAGATGCACATCAGCGCCATGACTGTAGAGGTCTCCGCAGAGCCAGCTGCTGCTTGGTCCATCATGAACAGGTCCTGGCATTATAACACAGCTGGTCTTCAGCCACCTCAGAACCAGCGACATCTCAGGACCTGTTCCAGCACCAGCTGTTATATGGGGCTCTTTCTTAGCCACACCCATGGAGCCTGGGTCCTTTGCAAACTGATTCAATTGGGGGGGACCACAGGCAGAATGGGGGATTGTTATATGCAGCTGTTTCTTGGCCACCCCACAAACAGTTGCATCTTGGGAACCATTCTGGTACAGCTGTTATACATGGCTATTTAATACACCTCCCCAGAGCTAGTTGCATCTCAGGACCCATTAGCAGCAGCTGTTATATAGGGCTGTTTCTTAGCCATGCCCCCAAAGCCAACTGCATCTTGGTCCTATGCAAACTATCCCAGGCTGTGGGGGTTGAATTTGTTATATGCACCCGTTCCTCAGCCACCCCAGAACCAGCTGCATCTTGGGAAAAATCCCAGCCCAGACTTAAGTCTCTGTTGATTTCCCCATGCCCTCCACCCCCACACCCTCCACCCCCACCCCAAGCTGCATCTCAGGAACTGTTCTAGCACTGGCTGTTATATGCAGCTGTTTCTTACAGCCAGCTTTGCCCCACGGTGGCTATTTCAGCCCATTGCAAACTTGCCATACAGGGGCATTTGTGGGCAGGAGGGGGAAGAGGGTGTTACATGTCACCAGTACTTGACCACTTCCCACAAGAACCAGCCACATTTTAAGTGCCACTCCAGTGCTGGCTGTTCTATGCAGCTGTTTCTTAGTCACCACAGAGCCAGTTGCACCTTAATCCTTCCTGCCCTCCCTCTCTCCTCACCCCCCCCATACATGGGGCTGGCTGTTTTTTTGGGGGGGTGGAAGCCCCTATAAGCCTTTACTTGAAGCAGGCACCCTGAGGTGCCCCCTTTTTAATTGCTCTATTTTAAAAAATGTGATTTGGGGGTTATTTGCATATTTTTTCAAGGAGAAATTAACTGTATGGGGGGAGGAAGGGGGGCATTGGTGCCAGGGCAATTAGATGGTTTTTGGATTCCGGCCCCCACCCTGGCCTGTCTCTGTGATGTTGATGGGGGAGCGGAATAGAACCCTTGAAGTGGGTAACAGAGGTGCTGGAGGTGGTGGGAATGGTCCCTGGCTGGCAACCCCTGTCCTCAGAGCTAGCTGCATCTCTGAACCCTGCCACCTGGATTCAATCTTTTGGGAGGGGGTACAAGAATGGGAGGTCTTTGCCTCCCTGCCCAAAATGGACAGGCACATCCCAACACACATCTTTTATTTATACCTAGGGCAAATGCCATCCCCACTGCCTTCCAGTCCAGGGGGAAAAGGGGTGCATAGGCTGCTACCCCCCAGTGGGGTAGTTAAACCAGGTGGGGTAACACTATGCGTCTCTCCCCCCATGCAATGGCCAGATGCAGCTAGCTCTGGGGTGGAGCAGGTTGAGACAGCAATGTAGGAGGGCAAGGGAGTGTGGAGGATACTTTTGAGTTGGGCATGGGATCCAAGTGTCTGGGTCCCCCATCAGTTCCTGGTGGTGCATAGAGGATTAAATATAATGCCACTGTCTGACAGGAGGAAGCCAGACAGGAACTGCCATGCCACTGTCTGCCAACAGGGGGAGTGCTGCAAGCCCTACCCCCACCCATCTCTGACAGCTCTTAAAGGGTAGGGGAGTGGAACAGGAAGCGAGGGCCTGGTCCTGTCACAGTATGGCTGAAAATAATTGGGCATTATAAGGAGAAAGTTGGCCTGTTTTGTTCCAGAAGCAGGCATTTGGGATAGGAAGGGGGGTATTCAAGACAAGTGGGTGTGACTACGCATGCTCTCAGCTCTAGGGTATTGTGCAGGTGACACTGAAGGCCAGGGGGATGCAATCACCCAAGACAAGAAGTGGGTGTGCCCTGGGTAGGAAAGCATTCAGGACAGGAAGTGGGTACAATCAAGACAGAAAGTAGTTACAACTCATGATACCAGTTGATAACCTGCCTGCAGGTGTCTTCAGGATATACTCCCTCAGGTCAGGCAGTGGGTGCATCTGGGACAGGAAGTAGATATTCAGAACAGGCAGGGGGTAGATCCAGGACCAGAAGTAGCTACATTTACTTGCAGCAACGGATAATGACCTGGCCACGACCATCCCTTCATGGATCAGTCATTGGGAACAGGCAGGGGACACATCCAGGACCAGAAGTAGCTACTTCTGCTCACAACACCAGACGAACTGGCCACGGGCATTCCATCATAGGCTGCAGTCATCCAGGACGGGAAGTGGCTACTTCTGCTCACGGCGCCAGACGATGACCTGGCCGCGAGCGTCACTGGAAGCCAGCAGGCTCTCGTCGCAGTTGAAGCTGACACCCAGCACAGGGGCACCATGGCCCTGCAACTTGTTCACTACAGCCCGGCTTGAGCGCTCCACATCGAAGAAGTACACACATGCATCCTCGCTGCCTGTCACTGCAGTGCCATGGCAACCATGACATGGGGCAGGGTCAGTGCTGTGTCCCCCACAGCAACGCTGCCATCTCCCCCCACATGCTCACCCAAGTAGGGGAGAGAGGCCTGGGAATGATGTACAGGCCTGAATGACAGCCCCCTACCCCCAAGGGATTCTGGGAATATTGTCATTTCCCCCCCCCCCC